TCTGGGGACTTGCCCTGGATGTCGGTGGGGGTGATCTGGCAGGCTCTTTGGTTGGGCTGTTTACTGTCAGCTTCTTTGGGGTATCGTTTACTTCTCGATTGTTGGTCTGATGTTAATAATCTTAGTGTCAATCTATGCTCATCTGGCTATTGATAGTGGTGGGGAGGCGTTTGCCCATTGTGTTCCCTTTCTGGTTGGTGGAGTGTCCCTTTTGCATACAGCAGGTGGATGTTGTTTATGTCTATATACCTATTGATGGCTACTTTGGCAGCCCCAGCCTTCCAGGAATTCTCTCTCTTTCCCCCCCCCAATATATTTTTATTATTTTTACATTTAAAACAATGCAGTGCCGCAAAGTCGAAGTGGCCATACCTTCACATTTGGTAATATGTTCATTTTTATGACTGCGATCCTACCCATCAGGGACAGTTGTAGGTTTTTCCACCTTTCTAAGTCTTTCTTAGTTTTATTGATCAAATTAGTATAGTTATCTTCTTTGACGGTCAGACACCTCGCAGATAAACGTATACCAAGATATTTGACTTTTTTGACAGTTTGGATAATTTCTTCATTAACTCCTCTTTCGCTTTTGATATCATATTTTTAACCAGCATTTTAGTCTTAGTCATATTTAAACCTGCTATTTTCCCATACTCTGTCAGTTCCTCAATGAGTTTCATACCAGACTTTATAGGATCCTCTAACACAAACACTAGATCATCCGCAAAGGCCTGTAACTTAAATTGTTCTTTTTTTATTTCTAGTCCCTTTATCTCTTCCTCTTTACGTAATTCCTGGCTAAAACTTCTAAGGTTAATATAAACAGCAGCGGGGATAAGGGACAACCTTGTCTTGTACCTTTCTGGATTGCTATACTTTGCGTTAGGAATTCTCTCTTTGGACTTGGCCTGGTAAGGATGGTCTCACATGTTCCAGTTTCCAAGTTGAAATTGTGGCTACGTCTGTCCACATGTTGCCATGAAAGAGTTTTCTCCGTGACTTCTGACTGCTACTTGATGTTCATGGATTCTGCTGGTCTTCTGCCTGCTTGTCCTATGTAGAGGCTGCTGCGGTCTTGACACTGTATGTTGTAGACGACTCCTGTTGTTGCTGTTGTTGTTGTTGTTGTTGTTTCCTTTTGGGGCTGCTGGGTCTTTTGGTTTACTTGGGATGTTTTGGAGGGCTTCTCTTTTCTCTCTCTAAACCTCTTGCGGTTTCCTCAAATGCCTCCCCACCAGGATGCCCAGGGCTCAACCCCATCCTCCACGGGGGGGGGGGGGGGACCTACCAGTGCAGGAGACAAGGAACTGCCTAATACGGCACCTTCTGGCTCACTTGGGGGACTCTCAAAGGATGCCACGACCTTCTCCACGAATACTGTTGCTAACTCAGGGACCCCCTTCTATGCTCCCCCTTTTCATCTTTGTCTCCTAAGTAAAGAATTTAAAATGCCATGTTCTTACTTTCTCCAGCCTATCTGGGCTGTTGTGCTTCTGCCTTCTAGGAAATTCCCTTGACTTCTTCCTCCTGTGGTGGTAAAAGATACCCCCCCCAGATGAGTTGCATTCATATTAAACCTGTGAGATCCCCCCCCCTTTTTAAATGCAAACGACGAAGTGCCCCAGTGAGGGAACATCCAGGGGGAGCTGAATTGGTCCTGAGGGGGGGCAGGAGGAGGAAGAGCCAGCCAGCCAGCCACCTTATCTCAGAGAGATAGCGCAGGCTGCAGGCTGACCTCAGCGGAGGAGAGGACCGAAGGTCACCAGGGGGCTTATCAGAAACCCCCCAAGGCCACCTGGTGATGATCGCAGGCCTCTTTGTCTTGCCTGGCAAAGTAGTCGGCCAAAGGTACATTTCGCTTTTGCTTTTGCTCAGGGCTGCCCAACAAAGAGCTTTGTTGGTATTTGGTTCACACCGTTTGTTGTTTGCATTCTTAACAACCGCGGGGGGGGGGGGCTTGGTGCTCTCTGGGGAGGGGAGTTTTCCAACAGACGTTTTCTGTTCCTGACTAGGAACCATCTCAGTGCTCAGAGAGCACAAAGGCCAAATATTACAGTCTTTCAATTATGGTGCGTGTCAGATCCTCTCCATTAGATAATTAGGAAAGAAGACCACTTTGTTTATTTAATCAATTGGCCACCCAAATGGTCACAGTTGCAACTTTGGGCATTTTGAGTTGCATCCAAAAGACGTCGGATCAAACAAGAGCCACAAATGGAAAACAGGATCCGGGTTCGCAGACGGAGGGAGCCTCAGGGAAGGGGGTGACGGGACTGGGGCCCCCGGTGGCATCAATGCCACTTCCGGTCCAACTGATGTGATTAAGGTTGCCAGTCAGCACCCATGACAAGCGGAGGGGGGGGGCTTTTAAAGGGGGGTGGGGGAAGAAGCTGTCAGTCTGAGATTGATGGGGCTCCAGCTGTTCCCTTTCCAGATCAGAAGATCTTTCTGAGTCAGCGGGGAGGGAGGGAGGGAGGGAGGGAGGAGGGGGCTGGTAAAGGCTTATGTCCCAGGAGAAGAGAATGCAGAAGAGATAAGGGCTACTTGGGTNTATTTCTAGTCCCTTTATCTGTTCCTCTTTACGTAATTCCTGGCTAAAATGTCTAAGGTTAATATAAACAGCAGCGGAGATAGGGGAGTCTCTGCACTTTTTCTAGTCTCAACATCTTTTTTTGCAATGTGGGGACCAAAGCTGGATGCAAGATTCCACGGGTGGCCTTACTGGAGGCTTCATAAAGCCATGTTGATTCTATGCCTGTTCATGCAATCGAGGATTACGGTAGCTTTTGGGCTGCTGCTGTAGAACACGGCAGGCTCCTGTTAAGGGATCGTCCACTGGGACCCCCTGGTCCCTCTCAGTTCCTGTTTTTGATCCGGATTTTGCCTAATCTATGCTTCTTGTCCCTTTGGTTCTCCCCACCTAGGTGTAAAGCCTTGCTTTTCTGCACATTAAATTTCATTTTGTTGGGTAGCACCCATTGTTTAAGTTCAATTTCCTTCTTTTAAACTCATTGTTCAAGAGCCCCAGCTCGTCCTTCACCCTCTGAAGCGTCAGTGTTGCAACGGCCTGAAGGCCTCATTGATTCAGGGTTTGAGTGCCTGAAATACGACCCAGGGGAGGGGTGGGGAAGCGCACAGCAATCCACTCCGCGCGACAACTTCCAAAGTGTTTATTTTGTCAAAATCTTTTCCAGGCAAACCACAGCTCCCCCCTCCCTCCCTGCCCTCCGGACAGTCTTTCTGGCTTCATTGCAACCACAGCAAAGGCCAAGAGAATCAGGGGCCCCACTGGGCCCCAAGCCAACCTCTACAGCCTGTCCAGAGCGGGCCCCAGCCTGCAGCCAGCCAGACCTTCAACGTCACCACCTTCTTGCCCTCTTGGAGAGCTCTCTGGTCACCAGCAGCTGCTGTGCAGGACGGGCCCCCGGGCTCCCCCTCCCTGGTCCACTTCAAGGCCTCGCTGGCCTCCGGTTGGCAGTGCCCGGGGGAGGGGAGCTACTTCCAGAAGAGCACGTTCCAGAAGAGCAGCCAGCAGGGGTACACGAAGATGGCCACGAAGGGAAAGACGATGGAGCCATAGAGGTAGTGGTCCAGCAGCCCCTCGGCAATCACCTGGAGGAAGCGCTGCCAGCCCTCCAGGGGCGAAATGGGATACTCCATCAGCTCTTGGTACAGGAAGATGCAGAGGAGGAGAGTGACGGCCGGGGTGACCAGCAGCAGCAGCCCCGCGTACAGGTACCTGCGGGGGGGAGGGGGCTCCTGATCACGCTCACCTGGCCCAGGCCCTAAGCCCAGCACCCCCCCCACCCCCCGAGAGCCGGCAGATGCCGCCCACTGGGCAGCTGCCAGCTCTCTGCTGACCGGATCAACAGGCCCAGAGGACCTTGCATGGATGCAGGACACAAGCACTGCCAAGGCAGCTGGTTGGTTGGGCTGGAGCTGCTTGCCCACTTTGCAGGCGTACACCGTGGCCTGCCTGGCACTGCCCCCTCCCTGCACTCTCTCTCTTTCCCAGCATGCAACGGAGCCAGTCTGCAAAGGTTCTGAGTCTTCGCCCATCGACTAACAATTCCTTCGCCCGCGAAGCAGAAAAAACAGAGAACGGCCGTCTGCGCTGCTCCGGTCCCTGCTTTTGGCCGCAACCGTTCTGCACTGCGCTTTGGAGGCAGCGAGGGGGGGGGGGTGTTTCATGCTTCTGAAAACTCTGGCTTCCTTAGTGCCAGCCTTTGGCAGCCAGAGATGGTTCCAGCTCTGGGGCACCAGAGAACGGCCCTCAGTCCAAAGCCCCCCCCCCCTTTCTCCCTGGAGAATCTCTGCCCTGGGGAAACAGCCCCCACCGCCCTTTGACCGCATGACCTCCCCCCCCCCAACTGCTGCTTCAGAGGCCCTGCAGGATCGCCCTCTCTGCCGTGGGACCTACCTGGGCCCTGTGGGCTGCACAATCGCCACCACGGGCGCCATGGTGACCGTCAGCAGGAACCCCAGGGAGAAGTTGATGAGGGCGACGCAGCTGAGCTGCATGGCCAGGTAGAGCAGCGCAAACAGCTTCAGCATCATCCAGCCCTGGTTGCTCCCCGAGCCCATCAAGACCCTGCAAGGCAGGAAGAAGCCCGGTTGGTCCGGCCGGAATCCCCCAGCGCCTCGTCTTCCTGCTCAGCCCCGGGGCAGCCCCTCGCAGAAGGCCAGGCCCCCACCCCACTGTTACCTGTGTGTGTTGTGGGGCAAGGCCAGCCCGGCCACGTAGATGCCGATGCTGGTGAGCACCACAGCCTCCGACTCAGAGACCGGGAAGTGTTCGGTGGCCACCTTCTGCCCCCAGACGGGCATAAAGTACAGCGCCAGGCCTGTGGCATGGCAGATGAGCAGCGGGGGGATCAGGGTCAGCACGCTGGGTCTCTGGTCCTGTCCCGAGAGAGGAGGGCAGGAGCTTAGGGGGGGGGGGCCTCGCTCCACCCCCAAAGCGAAGGACGGCTGAGCCGGAGCTGGCTGGAGAGGGTGACAGCAGACCGAGCCCACGGGGCAACTCCTCTGCCCGACAAACACAACGGCCCCCCTTCTCAAGGGCTGCCGATTCCTGTCACAACCCACCTCCACAGGAGCAGGACTCGAAGCTTGGTCTCCATCGCAGAGTTGGCTCCTGTCACTGTCAAAGCTGCTTAGCTTCACCCACAAGTCCAGGGCGTTGAGGGAGGGAGGAGTCCAGGAAAACAGGTGTGACACAGGCAGGCCCCAAACCCCAACACCCGGGCTGCCCCCGCCGGCGTTTTGGAGAAGAGGGTTCCTCCCTGCACCCTCTGGACCAGAGGCGGCCCCCAACCCCTCACGCCAGCCCCCCCCCACTGGATGGGCAGAGACTGGGCCCCCCCTCTCCCACCGCCCAGGTTCCTGCAGTGTCCCCAAAGGACTCAGGTGGGATCCCCACATGGCTCTTCAGCGCCCCACTTTCAAGCAGGAGCCCCACCCCAGAAATCCCCCACCCCCAAAGTGTACCTCCAGGAAGGCTGACGTAGGTTTCGCAGCCCCTTCCTGGGGAGCAGGGCCACCCGCTTTCCTGGCTGGGGGCCTCCACTGTGGGAGGATATCTTGAGGACGAGGATGAGGATGAGGAAGCCGAAGGCCGGCATGTAGAGCCCGATGGAGACGAAGCGGGAGAGCGAAGGGAGCAGGTAGAAGAAGTAGGACTGGTGCAGCCGCTCCAGCAGGTTGTTCAGCTTCCGGAAGATTCCCTCAAAGGTCCTGGGGGAAGAGCAAAGAGGGGCTTGCGGCTTCCCGTCCCCGGGGGGCTCCCGGCGGCCCCTGCCCGGACCTCCGCCTGCTCCGACACTCACACGCCCATCACGCCCATGTCAAACTTGTATTGGCGGAAGCTGTTGATGCCTCGGATGGTGATGGCCTCGATGTGGTAGCGGAGGAAGAGGCCGTGGTCCCCCTGGGGGTGGCCGGAGCCCTGCTTCAGCACCATCAGCAGCAGCGTCTGGAGGGAGTGCAGGTAGGCCGGCAGGGAGTCCCAGTCCGAGCGCTGCAGCTGCGGGGGGGGGGGGGGGGGGCCCGCCGCAAGCCCCCCCCCCCTTCCCCCCCCCCCCCCCCCCCCCCCCCCCCCCCCCCCCCCCCCCCCCCCC